GATTTGTATGTTGTCCATATTTGATACAGTGTAATGCTCTGGCCACACTTATGTTTATGTGACAATTATATTGATTTGCCCATATATGGGCATGAAATGCCATAATACACCCATATATGGACAAATCATAGGTATTTTGAACATAAAACGTAATAGTGTGAGCAGAGTTTAAGAGTACCATATTATTTTATATTGATACTATTAATTCTATTAGTAAATAGTGTTTACTATGAAAATGGTCTTTAACAATCTAGCCTAGTGTAGAGTTTATAGACTTGGTTTTATTTTATTGTACTTTCAATCTTCCAGTATTTAAGGCTGAAAATATTTCTTCGAAAATATTTCTTCATTTTGAATTGTGTGATGACGATTTTTATCTTGTCTATATTTCTTCTGTTATCGCTCCTCTGTCACATGATGTAGGTAAGTGGCATTAGCTTGTATTGACGTCATCAAAGGGGCGTGTCTGCATTGATGTGGGCGTGTCTTTCGCAAAGTCATAGTGTAGTATTTGCATATAATAAAGGCTTTTATATTTTATTATTTTTATATTAACTCTTCATTAACGTGTTTATCTACTCTGTCATCATCACCAGGGAATTAACACGGTTTATATGATACTTTTGGTGTAATATCAATTCGTCTCCCTCAATTAAAGATCACTTTTTTGTGGTCCAATAGTAACAAATGTCTTTTATCTTTATTATTCTAATAGACCTTTTCGGAGTGTCAATCAAACTTAACAACTGACTAATCAGAACAGCGCTAGGAATACGCGAGCGTCTCACAAACACACGTGTTTTCCCACTAACGCACGTGTTCGCCTATGTTTTAACACTGTCGCCTTGTGGGACCTTAGCAACAATATCCAAGGGGCGGGGCTTAGCGGAAAGGTCTATTAGAGACCAAAGCTGCTAAAGACCATGGTTATCTCTGGTTCCACAACTGGTATTTAATTGGAGGGAGACCTGTATACTAAACGTCATAAGTTGTATTTCATCTTATATCATTTGATACTTGTACACAGGCCGCTAGTACCCATCTACGTAGGCCTACTTAATTTAGATTATAAGATGTTAGTCTGTGGGTTTGATACAGATAACCCCACCCCCTCCCATCTATTTGCTGGCGGGTCCGATAACGATGAATAAGGGATTTGTACGTACCCATGGGTATCTATATGTTGTAATGCTGTCTGTGTTGGAGGTGTTTTGTTAAAAGGGTATTCCTGTTAGAGTACGGTAATACATTTACCAGGCCGAGTTATGTAGATCGAATCCATCTGCAGAAGACTTATTGTAATATTGTTCACATAGTCAACAGCTACAGTGGTGGGTCCAGAAATTTTGCCGACAGTTGGGTCTGAAGCAAGGGGCCGACTAGAGCCTCGGTCAGGTTCCAGGAATTAAAAAAATCCTTGGTAGGGTTCTGGGGAGAGTCAGTACGGATTTGTATGCCCCAAATTTTGCTTTTAGACCACAATTGGCAATCAGATATCGTTATTTAAATAAGCAAATTATGAATTTTGATCAACGACATCGTCGTGATGTCGGTCGACAAGGTGGTGGGGGGGTTCAACCACTGTATAATTACTTGCCGGGGTCTTTTTGCACCCGTAAATCTCTTATGTTGTAATGCTCTCTGTGAGTGTCCCGTACTACATTTATCATGGGGGTTATGTAGATCGGATCCACAGACATGTAGAATAATATTTTAGCTGTAAGCATAGTTGTATGCTTTCGAGTGTTATTCAGCAGTGTTGTGTTATTGCAATCTGTAGAAATTTTATTTTTTAACGAATTCTCTGCCTCATGTAAAAAAAAAACACGATAATAAATATGGCAGGTGGCAATTTAGTGTAGTCTGTGTGTTTATTGCGATTTTCGTCTTAATTTGGGATATTATATTGTTTGCATGTTTATTGTTGTGTTTGTGTATACACGCTTTGTTACTTTCATGGTTCATTCTTAACCGTCGCATGCTTATCGAACTAATCGTATTGCCATTTTCATCACCATGGGAACATCTAACACAGTGGGCCACTTTGTTGTTATTATTGATAATTTTTATTGTTGGTTTTTATTTCTTTATTGTCTTTTATGTTAGGATTATTACCATTTACTACTATTTGTCACAAAATAAAGTATGCGAAATTATGAGGCTTATTGTTTCTTTAAAAACCGAAAGGTGAACTGACTAATCTCAGATAAGATAGTATAATACATACCGTAATGCACGCCATCGTGTCGGAATTCAATATTTCGACATTGATTATGTCATCATCATAAAAATTGTTTTTTCTTAGTATTTACATTTACAGTTACCATATGATACAAACAAAAAAACGGCTATAAAAAATAATATACAGTACTGTATTATAAAAATAGTACATCAATAACATAACTTACGAAAATCTTAAAACTCTCGGGCACTGTATTTAACGCGTGAAGATAGGTCTACTGATACAGATCACTTATAGTAGGCCTATTACTGTTGTTGTACATATATTTCAGACAATTTCTTACTGAAAAAAATGTTTTCAGAAAGTTGATAAATCGATCGGTCGTAGCCATAAACGATTACTCTTCTCTTCAAAATATAAAAGAACATTATAAAAAAGTCAATCTCAAATTAAAACACAATTTCAAGACTCAATTACCAGCTATTTGAATACAGTACCAAACCGTGTAGTCTTCAATTACAAATCTTTTGCCTATTGCTAGGTTCATATATTAAAGGTCTGGTTAAACGGACAGGGTATGCATAAACAATGTCTTGAACATGAACATAATGGGACTCAAATCAAATCAAATGTTTGAATGTAGCAATAGCAATATAGTGAAAGGCCACCAAACATGGACATACGGAAGTTACTGTTTGAAAATATGCCGCTAATATATAGGCCTATAGAATATTTTTATTTTTGTATTTGAATTATACGGAACGAGCCATTATAGCAACAAGGCCAAATAAATTAAAAGCAAAATATATATATTCAATATGGTGGACATCTGACATAATCTAATGATTGCATGACACTCTGATATTGAAAACACTTAAAGATTTCATTGACTAGACCTATACTAGGTTTTGTAGATATAAAGATATTGACGAAAATACCATTATTTTGGCCGCCATCTTGAAATCCAATTTGGCGGTCATCTGATATAGGCCTAATTTCTGATGGTTGCATAATGCTCCCTAATATTGAAAACATGAGTAAAGACCTTTGAATGACAGTGATAAGTGCTGTAGATATGGGGATATTGATAAAAATCAAATATTTTGGCGGCCACTTTGAATTTCAAAATGGCGGCCCACAAAGCGGTGTTATTTTTTGAGGTCTATTTGTTTTTTAATGATTCTTAGGTGTCGTAGTACCACTGTGGGAAGTTTCATGCTTTCCTGCAAAATGGCTCGATTATTCTCCTTAGCCGCTCTACTGTAGAGAAGTTCATTTTTTAAGCCAACTACAATTAGTCGAATTATATATTTTTTTTCCAGTTTAAAATCACCAAAGTTCGTCATTTCTTGCATAGTAAGAATGTCTGAATGGAAAAAAGTGTGTCAGTAACATTCGTTCAGCAACCCACGTTTGACCTATATTAAATCATTCTCCATACCCGCGGATAGTTGAACGTGTGCTAATAAACGTATCTTATTACGGTTGTATTTCGGTTAACTGGCTTCTAAGTTTCATTTGTACTCTTTTTAACACTTCACAGTCACATTATGTATTATATTATGGTTGGCAAATATACCGTCACATTTTCTCGTCGTTCTCTCATTTTAACTATGCCTACGATTTTTTTTTTTCATTTTAGGAAAAATGTGAAGAAGGCTCTGTCAAATATTTATAATGATACTGTACGAGATGATGACATTCTGTAGGGGTTATCATGCACACTGTTGTATTATACAGTAGGCCTACTACTTTAAAAATAAGGGGGATGGGAGGGGGAATCTTGGAATATTCTCCATCAATCGTGCTCCTGTCACCTGTCCCCTTGCTTGGGAGAGATTTTACTATCCTTAATTTATTATAAAATATTTAATTTACATGTCTTTCATTATATATTCAATCAAATCATTTGGTACGATCACGAAGTAATTCCCCCGTTTACTACGGGTCCTGTTGTTGCTTAGTAACCAGCAGCGCTGCTTTGTTGGTTGACGCTACTGTTACTGCGACCATAGAGAAAATAGAACTACTGTGACCATGGAGGTATAATACCTCTATGCTGCGACGATCACGACAAAGCACAATTAGGTCTACCTGAGCCTACTTAAATCCCCTTTTTGATAGTCATTGTTTTTTTTTCTAGACCGATACCAAGTAACGTCAAATATTTATTATAGGTTTATTATACGTGTGTATTTTGGCCTCCTGTGCCGAACAACTATTGAGTAATTTAAATATTTACACCTTTCGTCAACCCCGTCGTCAACAAAAGCGTAGGCCTACATTTTGCAATGTTTACAGATACTTGAAGCGTCTGTGAGCTAGGTACCAAAATGACAGGCTTCTGTGTGATGAAGGTGAGGAGCAAAATAATTACAGTTTGTATGATTACATAATCACAATGAAAGTGCACTACATGAAAAGCTACTAGACTTTTTGAAAATGAGGCGCCAATGGCAGCAAATGTACGTTGAAATGAAAGTAATTGTAAAATCAATGTCTAGTAAACCACAATTTGACCTACGTTTTGAAATTAGACCTACGTTTTGAAAAAATTGACCTACGTTTTTGAAGAAATAGAAGTACGTGTTGAGAAAGTAGACATTCTAATTTTACAATTCAATGTGATACCAACAAATAGGGGCCTACATTTGTTGCCTGTGGCGCTTCATATTTTAGACCTTCAATTCTGTACCGAACATATTACTATTAAGAAATTTAGAATACTTTTCAACTATAATTCATAAAGTGCATTATAAAAAAGAAATGTACTAAATTTGTATGTATTTATAAAGACGGTGGCATTTTCGATACTAGTGTTCACTTTAATTATATTATTGTTTAAAGTATAGGATGAAGATATTTTGTAGAAAACTTTATTTTAAGAAGCGGTAACGCTTTCTAAATTGTTTAACGGGTAAAATAAATTAAAGAAGTACTGTAGTTAAGTTTATTTAAAAAAAAAAAAAAAAAAAAAAACTAGTTTACTAATTAAACAATCACAGTTTAATCAAGGAGCTCAGTTCAAAAGTCCTTGGATTATAAACCGTCGCTCACATCACGAACTAACACAATCAAAGTAGATTGTGTTAGTTCGTGAAATCATAGTAGCGCGTTAAAACGAGTGCGTATTGGTTGTCAAGCAATTTTGTATTCTTTACCACACAAAAAGTCCTTAACGACAACAGCGCGTATTTTGACGCGCTTTTTTGGTTTCACGAACTAACACAATTGAATTTAATTGTGTTAGTTCGTGATGTGAGCGACGAAACTATTAAAATGAATCTTTCCGGAGTGTACTGTCTTAACAACTGACCAATGCAAACTGAGTCTGGAATACACGCGCGTGTTTCACAAACGAACGCGCGTGTAAGAAGGGGCGGGGCTTAGCGGAAAGGTCAATCTCTCTTCCTGTCTGTCATAATGAACCTCTGGTTTTATTTGGTCTATTCTCAACACAGAGTTACTTGGATAAATTGTACAATATATACGGCGGCGCATTCAATAGTTATTCGTGGTATTTTTAATTTTTAATATTAAATCATTTCACTTTTTTTCTATTTTTATGCTAATGTTATTAATGTCATTCTAATATATTCTTATATAGTTCAGTATACCAATGTACTTGAGTATGCGCTTCAATTTATTTGCTATATTAGTCATAGGGAGTTTTTGAAATCTCAATGTATTACGTAAGAAGCAATATGTATGATTACCTATAGGCCTACTACATTATTTGCACATGTAGGCCGTCGAGTTGGTAAATTGTAACGTGTAGGCCTCCTAGCGTTTGCGTTGTGACTTCACAAACACTCTATTGTCAAATTCAGAAGTGAGATGATATCTTTGTGATAATTAATAGTGGCTCTATATAATTTTCTCATTCACGTTACGAGAGTGAATATGATGGACTAAAATTGAATCACTCGATTTACGCTGATGATGTTGTTGGCACGTCGATGAAGCCGGGTTGCAGCTTGTGCACATTATGTGAAAAACTAAAACTAAGCCTAATGGCAAATAACATGATTTATGTCAACTCCTTACATCTTGACCATATTTGAATGATCTCAGTGATGAGTGAAAAGACAAGTCAGGTCACTGTGCATACGAGAAAATTCAGCCTTCTCCATGAATACATTGAGAGTGTGTTATAACAATAAGAAATCTATTACGACAACCTAGTTATTGTAGTGCAAGTGCACTTTTTGTAAATAATTTTCTTCTGTCGTTCCAAGAATTTATGAGGAAGTTTATATATAGTTTTTCACAAGATTTTGAGAATTGAAAATCCTCTATTGTGTTAACATTAATAAATTTTTTAAGAATCCTGTTTATTCAGTAAATGAAAAAAAAACTTCTGTATGTTTCATAGCTTAAAAACTGATATATTATATATATATATATATATATATAAGTATATATATATATATATATATATATATAGAGAGAGAGAGAGAGAGAGAGAGAGAGACCTATAATGTGTAATGGAGTGTATCTGGTGGTATTTGAATGTGCTCAACCATGAAGCCTCCATGGTCTAATGGTTATGACGCTCGCCTTGACAGCGAGAGGTCGCAGGTTCGAATCCTGCCAGAGGCATTTTATTACACAATTTCTTTATTCATTTATTTACAGGACTACATTCGTTGTGAACTATGCTACACGATGTATTATTATGTCCTTTATTCGAACACTGTATTTACCTTTCTTTGATGATTTGATGATAATAAAACTATTACGACAACCTAGTTATCGAAGTGCAAGTGCACTTTTTGTAAATAATTTTCTTCTG